TTTCCATACCAATAATACTACTACTGAAAAAGGAAAAGGTATTTTATAACTAAAGTCTAGTAGTATCAAGCTCTAAAGCAGGGATGGGCAATTATTTTGTTCATGGGGCTACATGAGAAACAAAAATATTGTGGAAGGCCCAGGCAAAATGCTTAACTGTATTGTATTTCTTTATAAATAGCGTTGTTTTGATGAACTGGTAAGAGTTTATGTTTTGACTAAGCAATGAAAAAGTGAGATTGCCTTACAAAAAATTTAATTAAAAAAAACAAAACACCTCTAAGGGTTTACATGAGAATGCTTGCAAGTAAAAATGACAAAATATTTTATCAGAAGTGCTTTTCATTTTTGGGGCTTAAAAACGCAACGCTACGCTCCGTCGTAGCGTTTCCGTCTACACTGCCCAAGACGCAAAACTCTGGTCAGATCTGCTCACGTCGTGTACGCGTTTACGTCACATACATCACCACCTAGCCGCCTGGCATGCATACCTTATCGAATTCCACAATTTTGCATCATGCAGATTTCCTCCAAAAAACACTTGTCTAAATGCGGAATAGAAAATGAAGACGTGACACCACTTTTGCGTCTTCTGTTCAGAACGTCATCATATAAACGTGGCCTAAAATAAAACCAATGCAGCTCTAGTCCATGCATGAGGTAAAATGATAAAATGTGTTTATTTTGTAATTCCAAATGAGCTTCAGAGTCAACCAAAGAGCCTTACGTGGCACTGGAGCTGCACAATGCCAAGATCTGATCTAGAGGCTGGTTGCGACTGGATAGGGCAACTGACATAAACAAAAAAAACTGATACGTCACCTGACCGTTAAACGTGATTTTATGGTTTTGATAATCAGACTTGGATAAAGCCACCACTATCACACTTACGCCTTTGTGGACTATGTGGCGGTTTGAGGCGGCGACAGTGTGCCAAAAACTCCAGTTGTTACCCAGAGCAGAGTTCAAAATTAGAAATTCCTCATGACACGCAGCAAACGCTTTCTCAATCAGAGAGGACATGGCTGCACCAAATCAAGTGCAGAGCTGAATAAACAAGCCCGTCTGGCCCTGTGTTTGCCGTGTGTGTGTGTTTGGTGTGTGTGTGTGTGTGTGTGTGGACATGCATGCAGAGCGCCCGCCTTTTCATTTGTGAGTCTTCCCCACTGCTCATACGGCCCCGGGCTGGAGCACTGAATTAGGAGTTAGAGCGTTATCTCCCAGCCGAGGCTCAGAGCTGATTGCTGCCCTCATTGGTGGTGAAGAGCACGTCTGCCTGGTGTAATAGCTGCCATAGAAACCACATCAGCCAAGTAATTATTTAGGCAACCTCAGAAAATTAAGAGGACAACATTCAAATGCTTTTGCTTCTCTGGGGGTATAGTTTTCCAGCAAATGTTCTATTTGTGAAACGCTCCTCTGTCACAATACTGTTTCTGAGTTCGTGTGCGGCTCTAATCCTGCATCAGCCCAAAGGGATGGAGACTGTCTCGTACTCACTGTATTGTTTTAGGATGTTAATGGGTTTCAGTTTTTGTATTGCTTTTCAGTCTTGTTGTTTTGTATTATAGACTTATTTAGGAAAAGCAGTTGGGGTTAAAGACTTAGTTTAACACCGTTGTTAGAAGGTTAGACGAGGGTTGCTTTGCGAGAATTATGGCTGTAAATACATACACAATCGAATCAAAGTCACAATTTGAATGGACACAAAGAGCAAATCTCAATTTTTAAAGTACTCTTAAGTAGGAGTGTGCAGAAATATGGAAATACCGAAATATTGATATGTCGTATTGCTTAATGTGTTGATACAGTATCAATATATTGTCAAGAGTATTTTTTGGTGTATTTTACTAAATTATTTTGTTACAGTGCTACAGTTTTGTTGCTTGTTCAGAGGAAGGAAACTTGTTTATGCAACACATTTGACATTTTCATTGTTTTGATGATTAAAATGTTTGTGTTTCATGTTCACTTTGCACAAGAAGTGGTTTAACAAAGACTTTGAGTATCACAGCCATGATTTAGCCATTGTTTTTACTGAACCGTATCGAATCGAATTGAAATATATCATATCAAATCAGAAAGTGCACATATCGAGGTATGTATCGTATTGGCAACTTCTTAATGTTACCCAGCCCTACTTTTACGGCCTCCGCACACTACAGGATCTTTTGGTCTTAAACGATTTTTAAACATGTGACAAAAGCGCACACCACAGACATGAAAAGAATCTCATGAGTTTTTAAATCTCCGATCACAAAGACTGCAGTGGGATATGTCTGCAGACCACAGGCTGCAAAGTTGTCAAGAGTAAAACAACTCACTATGAAACTCTTAAAGGGACAGTCCGGCATTTTGGACATAGGTCCTCATGTAAATGTCTGTGTTGATAGAATAATTTTATAAGTAAAACCAACCTTGCATTTGAAGGATTTATGTCTGAGCAGCAGCAGCGAGTTGTACTTCCTGATAGAAAGTTTGGCAGTGGCGGATTGATATATGAGAAAATAGTCCCTCAACATTCAACGTATCATGCGATGCAAGGTTAGTTTTATTTCAAACATTATTCTATCAACACAGACATTTACATCGACAGTCTGGTGTAATAATAGATTTACTTTGAGTGTTTTGTGGAGTGGGTAAGACTGTTTTTAGTGGCACGATAACTATGGCCATTGACATGCACTAGTCTAGCACCAGCGACCTCTCCAAATACAAGGACTGGATGGAATATTTAAAAAAGTGTCTCCACACGTCTCCAACACTCTGGCTCACTAGGAAATGAGGTCCTATGTCCAAAATTCCGCACACTGTCCCTTTAAGATCAGAGCACTGCACTTCTAGTTTAGATACAAGTAAAATCAGTGTTATTATTATTTGTGAATGGTGGTGCAAAACTTCAGATACATGAATGAAAGTCCACAGGAAATAGAGTCACTATCACTAATCTGCAATTTCACCTCGATCCGTGCGCTGTGTGGATGTAAACAGACACACGTGAGGAACTACTCCCACCTTTTTCCTTTGAAAGAACGCCTCAAACTGGATTCATAGCGCTGTTTTTGTGGACTGGCATTATTTGCAGAGGACAATTTCTATGGACGATGCAGATGAGATGCTGCACGTTAAAGTCACACAATGCACCTTTAACTGAATTAATCGTTGGTTAAGTTATTTGTGTTTAGCTCCTGACATGTAATTGAAATTCCGGTTCATTTTTTCCCCGTGTAAAATGTAATCAGGGAGTGTGATTAGGTGTGAAATGTGTTGTATGTTGGAACAGCCTCACACTTCATTAGTTTTATTTCAGACTGGTATTTGTAAATGTCTAAATGTGAGAGGTGAGACTCGGGGGGGGCCTGTTCTAGGGTCACAGTTTCAGTGTGTGGAGGGACGAGCGGCACACGACACCAAATGTGCACCGAATCTGCACTGAACTTCCACACGGTACCAAACCTCCGCACCGAACCTCCATGTTCCAGCACTGCCCTTCATGAAGCCGCTGACACAGAAAATGGGATGACTGATGCTATCTTTAATGAACAGTGTAATTGGCGCAGCTACAACACCAACGCTACTTTTCCCTTCTCCTCCTCTTCCTCCTTTCTTGTCCACCCACTCCTTCTTCTTCCTCCTCCTTTTTTCCCTCTTCCATCTCGTCCTCTTGCGCCTCCCCCTTTTGCCCCTTCTTCCTCCTTTTCTTTATCATCCTCTTCTTCCTCATCTTCCTTCTCCTCTTCATCCTCTTCCTCTTCTTCCTCGTCCACCTCCCTGCTGCTCCTCCTTCTCTTCTTCCTCCTCCTGTTCTTTCTTCTCCTCTTTGTCCTCCTCCTCCTGTTCCTCTTCATCTTCTGCCTTCTCTTTCTTCCCCTTCTTCCTCGTCCACCCCCTTGTCCCTCTTCCTCGTTTTCCTCCTCCTATTTCTCCTTCACTTCCTCTTCTTGCTGCTCCTCCTCCTCCTTTTCCTCTTCTTCCTCCTCCTTTTCCTCTTCCTCTTCTTCCTCATCCAACTCCTTCCTCCTCTTCTTTTTCCTCTTCCTGCTTCCTCTTCTTGCTCCTCCTCGTCCACCCCCTGCTTCTTCCTCCTCCTTTTTTCCCTCTTCCTCCATCTCGTCCTCTTGCACCTCCTCCTTTTGCCCCTTCTTCCTTCTTTTCTTTATCCTCCTCTTCTTCCTCATATTCCTTCTCCTTCCTTCATTTTCCTTCCTCCTTTTGTTCCTCACCCCCCCTCCTTCCTCTCTTCTTCCTTCTCTTCCTCGTTTTTCTTCTCCTCTTCACCCCATCCACCTGTTCCTCTTCTTCCTCATCTTCTTCCTCCTCTTGCTCATCTTCCTCGTCGATCTGCTCATTCCTCTTCCTCCTCTTCCTCCTCTTGCTCATCTTCCTCGTCCAACCCCTTGTTCCTCCTCCTCGTTTTCCTCTTCCTCCTATTCCTCCTTCGCTTCCTCTTCTTGCTGCTCCTCCTCCTCCTTTCCGCCCCTTCCTTCTTCTCCTCTTCCTCATCTTCCTTCTTCTCTTCTTCTTCCTCTTATTTTTACTTCTCCTCCTCGTCTTTCTTCTCCTTCTACCTCCTCCTGATCCTCTTCCTCCTCATCTTCTTCCTCCTCATTTTCCTCTCCTCCTCTTCCTATTTACCCCTCTTCACTATTCTCTTCTTCCTCCTCCTTGTCCTCTCCTCCTCTTCTTCTTCCTCTTGTTTTTCCTTCTCCTCTTTCTCATCTTCCTTCTCTTCTTTTTCCTCCTCCTGTTCTTATTCTTCCTCATCGTCTTCCTACGCATTTTCCTCTCCCTCCTCCTCCTTCCCCTCTCTTCCATATTCTCTTCTTCCTCTCCTCCTCTTCTTCCTCTTATTTCTTCTTCCTCGTTGTTGTCCTCCTCCTTTTCCCCCCTCTTTCTTCTCCTCTTCTTCCTCTTCTCCTCTTCAACTTCCTCTTATTTTTCCATCTCCTCTTCCTCTTCCCCCTCTCCTCCCTCCTCCTCCTCCTCCTCCGTGTTCTCAGGCTGTTACGGCGTAGACGGAGAGAGCGACTCCATCATGAGCTCCGCCTCAGAGAACTCCACCGAGCCGTGGTTCTGCGACGCCTGCAAGAACGGGGTCCGGCCCAGCTGTGAGCTCTGCCCCAACCAGGACGGCATCTTCAAGGAGACGGACGCCGGCAGGTGGGCACAACATTCCCACATTCCCACATTCCCGAGAGGCTTTAAAGCTGAAGTACCTGATTTATTTTTTTATTTAAAGGACCCATTTTCTGATCGAATGTTATAATGTTGTTTCCTCGTCACAAACCTGGAGTTGTGTTTTGTTTCATTCACACATTTTTTTCACACAAACCTGCATATTTGGCAGTGTTGAGGAGTAACAGATTACATGTACCGGAGTTACGTAATCAGAGTACAAATTATGAGTAACTGTATTCGGTTACAGTTACTTTTTAAGTGAGTGGTAATTGGATTACAGTTACTTTGTTTAAATAAATGGATTACACAGAGGTATTTTCTAAACTAGGACTAAACCAGGTCTAAACCAGGACTAAAACCAGGTCTAAACCAGGTCTAAACCAGGACTAAACCAGGACTAAACCAGGACTAAACCAGGTCTAAACCAGGTCTAAACCAGGTCTAAACCAGGACTAAACAGGACTAAACCAGCAGGTCTAAAACCAGGTCTAAACCAGGTCTAAACCAGGACTAAAACCAGGACTAAAACCAGGTCTAAAACCAGGACTAAACCAGGACTAAACCAGGCTAAACCAGGACAAAAACCAGGACTAAACCAGGTCTAAACCAGGTCTAAACCAGGTCTAAACCAGGTCTAAACCAGGTCTAAACCAGGTCTAAACCAGGACTAAACCAGGACTAAACCAGGACTAAACTATGTCTCAAACAGGATTTAACAGGACTAAACCATGCTGTGTGGGCCGTGTCTCCTCCTCTTCTATCAATAATAATTTTAATACGGTTAAGTAAAATCTGGGCTTTTTTTGTCTTTTAGCAGAGAAAACATCTGATGTTACGATATTCTAGTCTTTGCTTCTCTACAGCAAACTAAGTAATCCAAAGTATTCAGATTACGTTACTCACTTTAAGTAATTTAATGGATTATGTTACAAACTACATTTTGGGGGATGTAATCTGTAATCTGTAGGGGAATACATTTTAAAAGTAACCTTCCCAACACTGATACTTGGTTCTTCTCTCAAACATAAAACACTCTTGTCATGTCATGTGGGAATACAAGAAGTGCTCCACTGTGTTTTTAAACTCCACACACCTTCACTAGAATCATTTGGACATTTTTTTGTTTCTCTATAATTGCCAATCTCTTCTGAATTTGACGTAAAAGGAGCTGGTAACTTGAAAACTACCAGTGTGAACGAAACAAAACACAAATCCAGGTCTGTTTTTGAGGAGGTAACAGCATTATAACACAGCTTGAAGTTCACAAACATCCATTTTGTGTAATACAGGACCTTTAAATCTGTCTAATTAGTCCCTCGCTCTCTCGACCCTCTTGGCAGAACACTTGTATTCACTTGCAAGAGTTATTTGGCCGCTAGCGCCGCTTTCAAACAGCTTTTTCAGACAGAAAAGTGAAGCGGGGTGGACCACCCTTGGACAGCTAATCAGCGCTCATCCCATAGTGTCGTATAGTGACTCATGGCTCAAGTTTGCAATAAATAAAATGTTTTCTAATTAGATGAAGACAGCACGGATCTGATTTTGGTCACAAAGTTCAACACACTTTCAAAACATAATTTACTCATTTATGAAAGAAAAGTTGGGTATTTCAGCTTTAGGATTCCCTCTGGGACATTGTCAGTGCGTTTCCCATCATGCACATTCACCTGTTAGACATGACACATAAGATAAGGTACATCGCATCACATCATTACATTGTTTTAGATGACTGACGATTGCTGTAATCATAATAATAATATGATACAACTACTGCATTTACAGGGTAGCCGCTGGGTCTTAAAAGTCTTAAAAAGGTCTTAAATTTCATGTTCTTAAATGAAGACCTTAAAAAAGTCTTAAATTATGTTGCCCAACTGTTATTTTTATCACAAATGTTGTAAATTTCAGTAGCCTATTTTTTTGTTTAGTGTTTACAATGTTAAATGGAGGGAGGGAAAAAAAAACAACAACGTGAAGTAACGTAACGTGAATGAACATCTAATTTGGAGTCTGCGCAAACAATACTTTGGTTTCTGGACCCGGCAGCAATGAGTAAACAATCAGCAGAGTGGAGGAAGACGTTGGATGGATCATGGGGAAGTGTAAGTTTAGTCCACGCTGGCTTTTAGTTTCTAGATATAGTAGTTGGCTGGTTAGAATTGGATCTGGTGTTTCTCGCTCACATAATGGGTGCGATGTTGGTCTTAATTTTCATTTAAGTGGGCTTAGAAAGGTCTTAAAAGTCTTAAATTTGGGGTAGTCAAACCTGGGGATACCCTGTTTTAGTCCATATTATATTTACACAAACATAAGTAATGCTATAATAATTTAAAATACAAACAAAGTACATTAAACATAGTATGTATACGTTCCTTTATTGTCTATACAGGGTTCTCACCATCATGGAAATCTCGGAAAAGTCATGGAATTTTAGTATCTCTTTCAGCGTTCTGTTAAGTTTTCATTAGGCCATTAGGCAAGGCAAGTTTATTTGTATAGCACAATTCGTACACAAAGTAATTCAAAGTGCTTTACAGAATAAGAAATACATTAAATACATTAAAATCATAATAAAAACAAATCAAAACATAAATAATCATAAAGATTAAAATAAAAAAGAGAGACATAAATTAGAGAAACATTATGATTATTTCTGATGTATGCACCTTTTGTTTAAAAGAGACGACAATAAATGCACTGACAGTATTTTGAATGTTAAAAACTATAATACAAAACCATAAGGTGAGTAGAAAGGGTGAACATTTCATATTTAGCCCTAAAAGTCTGATCCATTTTACACATGTAGGTGCCGTAAAGTCATGGAAAATTCACTTTATGTCAAATTTTGTCAGTGAAAAAGAGTGGAAACCCTGACTATACAACATAATATTTGTCTTGTGGACCTCTTCTTTCACTATTAATTAACTTTGTAAAATGTCTTTATTCATATACTAACTATTCACACACAACACGTCAAAATACGACAAAGAACAAGACAAACTTAACATAATGACAACAGGTTTGGTGGGGAGGAGTAAGGAAGAATTTGATGACGAGGGATGAGAGGTCAGCGGTAAATATTTGGTGTAACAGGACAGAACTTTTTGGACTGGACCAAAGCGACACATTTATACCATTTTGCTACTTGAATATAAGCGCTCTGGACAACTGCCATTTACACGAGGCACACAGTGGAACATGCTCAGAAACAAATAACACCTAATGACCTTAGCTGGTAGAAATGCTGCAGACTGCCAAAGGCTATCTAAACACTCCATTTATTCAGCGACGGAGAGAAAAGGAAGTGGGATTAAGGAGGAGAGAGGGAGAGAGAGAGCGCGAGAGAGGGAGCGGCGGACGGATGGAGGGAAGAGCAGAGATAGAGGAAGAAAAAGAGGGAGAGAAAAGAGTGTGTTATGTGAAGCGTGGAGACTTCAGCCACGTTATCGCTGATAGTGCTTCTCAGGCGAGCTGCACCCAAATTTACTACTTCACTAGAGCATGAAAAACACAGCAAATTAAACTGTGGAGCTCTTGCTTGCTAGAGATGGATATCTTTATATTGGACTTCGGATTCTCTTCCCCAAAGTCCGCATTTGAAATTGTGTCACACTCAACAGTGGCCGGGCTGGGGCTACACGAATCTATCAATCCATTTCTTTTGGTGTTCGGAGAGATGTTTTCAGAGAGAATTTTATCACATTAAACATGCACAGTGTAACGTTTTGGCTTGGAGGGTCCGTCACCTGCTTTTTTCTATAGATATATCATTGCTGTGCCTGGAATGTTCCACAGTGTGACTTTAAACAATGCTGCACTACAAAGGCAAAAGACCTTAACGTGCCAGAGTGTGAAACTGAGAAAAAAATGACAAAAGTATAGTCAGTAAGGCTCCCAACATTTGAGAACTAGTTGCTCTAATGAAGAAATATTTGTATACGAAAAATATTGAGCTCAAAATTGACCTTATTTCTCAGTTCCTGTTCTCTGCCTTTGTATCATGAGCCAAAAATAAGGAGTTGTGCAAAGACAAAAGGCAGAAGCTGATCCCTATGAGGCCTCTGGCTACAGGATAAAGTAAAAGTCTGATTAACAATGATTAAGTCAACTTACATTATTTCACATAAATGCTTTCACAGGTGATTAAAGATTATTATGTAAAGATTCCCATAGCAATCATTATTTGGTTGATTTTCTCCAAAATTCCACCTCACCAAGGTTGAGTCATCATGGAGTTTGTTTGAAATGATCTAGAAGAGCTTTGGATTTCCTGTTTAGTGTTGATCAGGATCGTGCGGCGACACTTACACAGTTTGACTTTGCAGTATAATGTGTACAGTATGAATAAATACACCAAATACTTTCACAATAAAGATAATTTAAGTATAACTGAATACAAAGGTTTATTTATTTGTTTACATCCAGTGCGTGTTCAGAATTACTGTTGAAGTGACCTGTCCAGAAATATTTTTAGCGACCGACACGTCAGTTTTTAGACCCTTCGTCTGCTTCAGTCGCGCATCGCTGGAAGGAATTCCAAGAATCACTCAGTTTGTCTTCACTCTTTTTTCCCTTCTCTTCTTCTTTTAGCGACTCAAAAATTGACTTTCTTTTTGTGGCGAACTGGTCGTGGATTCTCGTCTGCGATCGTGACAAACTTTGTGCGAATTGCGAGGAAGCTACAGTTTGAAAAAGCCTCGAAGAACCCCTGTGTAAACCACATAATCCCCGTGCGCCAGCGAACAGTTACCTAGAAACATAGGAGTTTGCTTGACAACCTAACAGCCAATAGATAAGAGGGAGCCTTGTTATCTATTGGCTGATGTTTATCTGGCCTCATTACGTCCACAGTTGATAGATTTTTATTCTTTTTTTTTTTGTCATCATAATTACAAGGCTGCTGCATCTCTGTAATGGTATTTTAAACTTTCAATGACAATTTGAAACAGAAAAAAATCCTCCATACAACCTTTAATGTTTTAGGACCCTGTGCCAAGGCCACAACAAAAAGGAGGTGAGAGGTTGGATTTTGAATTAAAATCTCTGTATGGACCAACTCACAAACAAAACATACACTGTTACTGTCTTTTGACTTTGCACGACTCCTTAATTTTGGCTGATGATACAAAGACAGACTACAGGAACTGGAAAAAAAATAAGAGTCAAAGGGCAATTTTGAGCTCAATATTTTTCACGATATTTATTCACATGATAAAGGAGGTCTCCAATACAAACAAAATGACATTCTCATTCTCAACTCATTTTTGATCAAACATGATGTTACGGCATTCTGCTTTTGTAGGGCAAAACTCTACCTTACATTTATTCAATTACAGGTGGTTTTATAGCTCAAAAAAACAGGGATTCTGACTGTGAGCTGTGTCGCCTCTCCACAGATCTTTTGTTTGTTTGTTCTCCATCGACATAGAAAGGTTTAATACCATATTGTGAAACATTCCAGACAATATCAGAAACGTTACACAATGCACCTTAAACTTTCATATTCTCTGACATAATTTCTCACATTTAAACCAAGCATAATCACAACTGCTGCTGTAATCTCTGCTGCTGTTACTCAGTTCAACATTCCATGACTCCAGATTTTCACTGTGACTGCTTTGTTACTTCTGTTCTGAAAAAGCAATTCTGAAATTCTGAAATACTCACATAATTTAATTGTCAAATGTTTGCAGGTGGGTGCACGTGGTGTGTGCTCTTTACGTTCCTGGAGTGGCTTTTGGAGACATTGATAAACTCCGACCAGTAACCCTCACAGAGATGAACTACTCCAAGTACGGAGCGAAGGTGAGTTTGTATTATTATTACTCATTTCATTAAAACAGAGTTAACATGATTATATTTACAGATATGAAATATGTGGTGGTAATTCCCAAACTGTTACTGAGAAATCATTCTTTAAACAAATTACCCAGTAGATATTAGACTAAAAAATATACAACGACACATTTATTTTGTTAAGTGAAGGTGATGACTGGTAGAGGTATCCCATTTCAAAACCTTTATTTTTGTACTTTTTCCTCTCAACATTTTAACTTCAAACTACAGCTTGATGATGTAAAAGTATGATAAATATTTACCACTGATACTATCTCACCAAACCACCGTCGTATGCACTTGAAGCTATGGAGCCTTGAGTCTGTTTGTGTCCTCTCTGTGTGTGACGCGCTCCTCTGTCCCTCAGGAGTGCAGTTTCTGCGAGGACGCCCGCTTCGCCCGCACCGGAGTGTGCATCAGCTGTGACGCAGGCATGTGCCGCTCATACTTCCACGTGACCTGCGCTCAGAGGGAGGGCCTGCTGTCAGAGGCTGCAGCGGAGGAGGTACCAGCCTTCAGCTCATTGCACTTTCAAGTTAAATCTCAAAGGTTTTTGTGTCAAAGTCTCATCGAGTATAGGGGTTTGCTCGCCCTCGTGACCTGCTGCATAAAACGTCCTTATGTACTGCCCCTTTTTTGGTTTCTGGTATTGTCAAAAAGCTCTGATACCTCACGTTTTTCAAGTATCAGCAAGTACTCAGACCAATCACACTAATAATGATCAAAGATATTTGTGTTACCTGTTTGATTCCTTCATTTAGCCTTTGTTGTTGACGCTGAACTTTGTAAAATAACTAAACTGCGAAGACTGCAGTCTGACAGCAGCCACAACAGGCTCACTCTGACTTTGTTTACTCCACATAATATATTTCTTAAGTTAATAGAGACACTAAACGATAATATTGAAACTAATATGAGATTCCACAATAACTATTCTAAATGTGTTATTGTTAAAATGTGCAGCACCAGTCAAAATTGGACACATGATCTCATTTAATGTTTTTTTTTTTTTTTTTCCTTTTACTACTTTCTACATTTGATATACACACAGAAGACTTCAAATATATGAAGTCAGATCTGATCTCTGGAATTAAAGCAAAGCGTGGCTACTTAAAGGTTTTGTTTATGGAGTTATTTAACTTTTTTTTTTTTTCCTTTGATACATTATTCTATACGTCTTTGTATATTTGATGTCTTCTGTGTGTATATCAAATGTAGAAAGAAGCAAACATGGAAAAAAAACACATTGAATCCAAAATTTTGACTGGTACTATTTGAGCTACAATACATAAATGACAGAATTGATCACTTTTGTAGTTAGTATCTGTAATGAACCATATATATATTATTAATTCAACCTTTTGCAGCTCATATCTGCATAACACACAATAAGTCGATGTAGTAATCTTTATGACAGGCCTTAGAGTCTATTAAAGGGTCCATATTTTGCTATTTTCTTTTTTATGGTATCATGTTTCCTCATCACAAACAAATCTGGAGTTGTATTTTGTTTCATTCACACAAAAGATAAACAATAAAAGGTAGCTGTTAATTTGGAACAGGTGGAACAGAGCATTTTGAGGTTTGGAAATGTATTTATTTTTTATTTATTTATTTAATAGGGACAGTGCATATTAATGAACATCTACAACATTGCAGTGTAAATATGCCAGATTATAGCAAGACTGCTAATTTCCATCTGTCGTCCCTCGGCAGGTAACACCACAAATTTAAACAAAGCAAAAACGAGTAACAAATCTATACTAAAAGTGTCCACAAGTCTGTTTTTTCTTTAGCCACTCTTTTAAGGAGGACTTGAAGGTGGCAAGAGTTGAAATTTCTCTTATTGATAGTGGCAGACTGTGCCAAAATTTTGTGCCTCTGACTGAGACACACCTTGTCCGAATGTTGTGCGTCTGTGTGGGACGTCACAGTTCCCCCGGGCTGTGGACCTAGTTCCCATCCCACTCACAGTCTTTACTTTAATAAAATCCTGTAATGGAGGAGGGGCAAGTCCATGCAAAACTTTATAGACAAAACATCCATATTTAAAACCAATAAAATTATTAAAATTAAAGGTTGTATGGAGGATTTTTTTTTTTAGTTTCAAATTGTCAGTGAAAGATTAAAACACCGTTACAGAGACGCAGCAGCTTTGTAATTATGATGACCAAAAAAAAAAAAAGAACGAAAATCTATCAACTGTGGACGTGTTGAGGCCAGATAAACATCAGCCAATAGAAAACGAGGCTCCCTCATTTTCTATTGGCTGTTAGGTTGTCAATCAAACTCCCTAGTGTAACTGACTCGCATTTCGCACAAAGTTTGTCGCGACGGCGGACGAGAATCTACGACCGGTTCGCCGCAAAAGAAAGTCCGTTTTTGAGGTCGCTGAAAGAAGAAGAGAAGAGGAAAAGGAGCAAAGCCAAACTGAGGTGATTCTTGGAGATCTCGTCCAGCGATGGTGCGACTGAAGCAGACGAAGGGTCTAAAAACTGACGCGTCGGTCGCTGAATTACTTCTAGACAGGAAACTTCAACAGTAATTCTGAATGCGCACAAGGACTGTCGCTGTATTTATCTTCTTCCCTTAAAAAAATCCTCTATACAACCTTTAAATAAATTATACTTGTCTAAAATAGTGCAGTGGTGAGATGAGAATGGTTTCTTGTCCAATATTTTTATGGCTTTTTTAAAAAGTGATTCGATGGGTTTGAGTGTTGTGCAGCAGCGAGTGACCATGTGGTTATGCAGTACTCTATATGGGACAGAATCATGGAGTGTAAAAACATTCGTGCCGCATATAAAGTCATAAAAGGTCTTACTTGTCTAAAATTCACTAAGTTAAAATTAACAGTTTTTGTAAGGCGCTTAATGTGTTTCTTAAATGTCAATGTCGGGTCCAACGTCAGTCCCAGGTATTTAAACTCTTTGACAAGGCTGAGTTCCACGCCGTCCAGAAAGACATTGGACCGCTGTAGATCAATTGTTTTTTTGCTGAACAACATGCAGACAGTTTTCTTTATGTTAAGTTGCAAGCATGAATTCTTGACCCACTTTTGGACATGAGTCATGGCTGATGTTAGCTTTTCTGAAGCTTCTTGTAATGTAGACAAATAATAAAGGGTTACTCAAATATGTGAATAAAAAAAAACACACCTCCAGGTCCACATTATTACATGCCTTAAAGTTCACAAGAGTCAGTTTTGCGTAATATGTGACCTTTAAGTATCTATTTCCCTTACATGTTAGTAGTACTGTGAGTAGAGATGAATCCTTACTGGTTGCTTTCGTGTTGTTTTCGCAGGATATTGCAGATCCGTTTTTTGCATATTGTAAACAGCACGCCGACCGCTTTGACAGAAAATGGAAGAGGAAGAATTATCTGGCTTTACAGTCGTACTGTAAGGTGTCTCTGCAGGAGAGGGAGAAACAGCTCACCCCCGAAGCACAAGTGAGTCCACATACAGATGATGTAGTTTGTTTTTTTTTGGTTTTTTTTTTATGTGACAATCTTAAAGGTGCACTGTGTAACTTTTCTGGTGGAGGGTCTGTAAAATGCTGCTCTCTGTGGAAATGTCACAGTATGATATTAAACCTTTCTATCTTCATGAAGACCGAACCAGACCAAGTTACGGGTCAGATCTGTGGAAGGGCGACCCCACTCACAGTCAGAATATCTGTTTTTCTAGGTATTTTTGGGCTATAAAACCACCTGTAATTTAATAAATGTAAGGTAGAGCTGTTTAATGTCATACTGTGGAACGTTCTAGACAGAGCAATTACATATCCATAGAAACAAGGACCCCCAGACCCATAACCAAAAAGTTACACAGTGCACCTTTAAAATTACAAAAAGAAAAGATTTGTTACTTTCTGTATTCCCCAGTCGGGTGAACACTGACAGAAAATATTCAATAGATAGATCCATATATAACTACTTTATTCAACCTTTAACCATTATTATGTATGGGTTATTAAATACTGAGTAAAAAAATCTAATTAAATAAATGTGATGGCAGGGTTCCCACAGTCATGGAGATCCTGGAAAAGTCATGGAAATTGAAAATGTCATTTCCCAGGCCTAGAAAATGGAATTTTGTAAATTCAATGAAAGCTTTGGAAAAGTCATGGAATTTTAATATCTTTTTCACGCAATTACAGCATTCTGTTAAGTTCTCATTAGGCTATTATGATTATTTCTGAACGTCTGCGCCTTTTGTTTAAAACAGACGACGATAAATGCACTGACAGGATTTTGAATGTTAAAAAAACTATAATCCCAAACCAAAAGAAAGTGGAAAGAGTTAACATTTCATAAAAGTAGGCTCAATTCTACACATGTAGGTGCCGTAAAGCCATGGAAAAATCACTTTAGGTCATGAATAAGTCATGGAAATGTTTAGAAATTTTGTCTGAAAAAGGTGGGAACCCTGTTATGGGAGGTGTTCCTAAAAATTATAACTATAACTATATTTTAATATAGTTGTATCTTGGTGTGTTGATATACTTAGATTTAACCACATCAGGAAAACAATATACAATTTTTACTCTGATTCTTGATATAAAAGTTTATCAGAAGCCAGATAATGGTTAAAGGTGCACTGTGTAACTTTTCACCTGCTTATTTTTAGATGTCATTGCTAAGAAATTACTTTTATATTTATATTTATATTGCTGCATGACTGGAAAAACATGCAGTGTTGCCTGTAACTTCTAGGTTTAGTAGCGTAACCTGCTTGCCTCCATATAAACATGTTTAATGCAATATTGAGGAACATTTCAAAACTGACATGCCCTTGGAGACAAGCAGGTGATAGTCCTATTGTACATTTCTCTTAATGTGTGCATTTTTTTGGAGACTGTTTTGTTTATAAAATGTGCCATAGAAATAAAGTAGATTTTGATTTAAGTAATTGTGATGTAAACACCCAGTACAGTACAACTCTAACTCTCACAAGACCGGACCTTTGTCCAATGTCCAGGCGCGGATCACCACGCGTCTGCAGCAGTACCGAGCCAAAGCAGAACTGTCCCGTAACACCCGACCGCAGGCCTGGGTGCCCCGAGAGAAGCTCCCGCGACCTCTGACCTCCAGCGCCTCTGCCATCCGGAAACTGATGAGGAAGGCCGAACTCATGGGCATCAGCACGGACATTTTCCCCGTGGACACGTCTGACGCCAACGCCAGCATGGACGGACGCAGGAAGCACAAGCAGCCGGCGCTCACAGCAGACTTTGTCAACTACTACCTGGGTGAGCAAGAAGGATGACCTTATATACACACATGTTTAAACTTTGAGGAAAAAACTGTTGATATTCTGGTGGGATGATCTGGTCAAATCCTGGTTGAACAATTGGAGACATGTTTAACCCTTGCAGACCTAAGGGCAATTTTGGTACATTTGTTCTCGCCTGGATTTTTTCTTAATTTTGCTATTAGAATTGCCCCTTTTACCCTCTCATGAAGTGTTATACATCCTTTTTTTAGTACAGCCTGTTATTTCACAATCTGCTGCTGTAGTTGTGTCATATAGCTGTAATAAAAGCTCTAGGACCAGAAATACAAATGAAAAAAAAAACATAACATGACGTAACAAAAACATAAAATATGCTTAAATTAGGGCTTTAGCTACAAAAGTGTGAAATATCAAGTCTGTAAGTAAACTAAAAATATCCTTATTGCCCTCAAAATTAAAAAAAAAAGTGCAATACAGGGCACAGACTCACATCACTTCCTGCATTTCCATGGGGTTTATTACACTTGGATTTGTACATTTTGAGTGAAATAAACCTTTCAAATAAAAATAGAGAGGGATGTGCAATTATGCAGACTAATATTCATAATTTGCCATTTATTTGAGAAGTAACTGCACTCAGAGCGTCTTTTTCAATTGTTACGAACACAGAGGCTCAGAGCACTTGACCATTTTGACTCACTAACACTCTTTGGCAAAGTTTGAACCAATCAAAATGGATCAGAGCGCATGAGTTTGGCGGAAACCAAAGTACGTATTGGACACTTGTTTTCCCTACATCATCACGCAGCATGTGACGTAGGATAATGCTGGAAATATGCTCGAAAAGCAGTAACTCTGAGCTTTTCTATTTTTTTATGGTTGTTTTTTTTTTCTTTTATGGTTGGAAAGTTATGCGTGGTTATATAAATCATATTCCCAGGTATCGTATGCAATACCATCAGTCTGGAAGGGTTAATCTGTATTTAATGTGAGAACATTTTGAGTTGTATAGGCATCAAATTGGATCAAGTATATTCAACTAAGATAAGGGCTGGTCCTGGTTTGGTTCTTGTTTGCCCCATTTAAAGTGGGACTCAACACCTAAACTCCGCCCACAACCACATTTCAAATAAAAATGCTAAACCGGGCAGAACCTTGAGGGCTGAAGAAAAGAGTGAGGGGGAAGGAAGGGCGGGGTCTCGGGGTTTAAGGACCAGTGTGATTGGTCTAACAGGTCTCCACACTTCAAACTCCGTCCCTACAGCCAGGTGTTTGTGATCAGAAGCTCTTGTCTGTAATCAGGGCAGTCTTTTGTGATGTCACCAACTACTGGAAAATGCAGAGGACACTGAAGACAGCACAAATGTAGATTTAGGCTTTATTTATTTAACCAGAAAGCTGCAAATTGGCCTAGTTTGCTCTAAAATTCCACCAAAATGACTAAGGACAGTAGACAATGCCATTAAAACACCATGTACACAGTTAAGTAGCCAAAAAAGTTGATCTAGTATTTAGTTCCACGTTAAGGCTGGGGTACATCGTTTTCAAAAAGGGATTTAAACTGTTACCCATAGCTTTAACTTATTCTTAGCTCTCAGAAACTCCAGTCTCTATGCTAGTATTTACAATGCTTTGAATTTTTCGGATGACAAAGCAGGGTGGACTGCCAACGCGCGGTCAATCCACTCTCATCTCAAACCGCAGATGCAGACAGTGCTCACTGGTCTGATTTTTGTCACTAAAATGGAACGTGATAAAAAAAAAAAAAAAAAAGGCTCCCAGATTTAATGATTATTTTTGAGATTCAGACAGAAAAGCTGAGCTGAGCACAAGCTGAGTTTCAGTAAATAGTCACAAGTCACAGTTTATACCCAAAACAAACAAGAAATAATCCAAAAATGTGTCTAGTCTAACCGTTGAACTTTGAATATTGAATAAGTGTTTTCATGCAAGTCTTTCCTTTAGAAGCGAAATAAAAATAAAATAACTTTCAGAAAAGTTTCTAGCCCTCCTGGAAAACATGTCTTTCACAAACTTAAATGCAGAATTTGAACCTTCATTAGTTTAAGAGTTTGGTTTATCCTGCCGGTAAAATGTTGACAAAATGAAAGCGACATTGAGTAGATTGTAGCTGCAGATGTGGATGTAACCTTGAGCGCAGACTCCATTAGCCCAGCACAGGACTATCTGCCATCAGTCTCCTCTGTCTCCTGCACTTTTCCTGTACACAGATTGGAATGGGGCTATTGATTTTGTTCCCATTGATATTCAGAGCGGAACATGCGAATGATCCAGATCCAGGACAACATCTCGGAGCAGAAGAACCTGAAAGACAAGCTGGAGAGCGAGCAGGAAAAACTGCACGTGGAGTACAACAAGGTCAGCACACAGACCCATCTCTGCACACATACACTCGAGTCAAATCGTCTCATTTAGGACTGAACATACCCCTAAACGCGTATTTACATAATCTCGAAAACCCTAAAGCTGCAGATTTTGTTGCATTATTTTAGCTCTCATTTTAGGATTTTACTACTTAAAACTTTAAATTGCAGTGAAAACAGTTTAAAGAACACTTATTATGCATTCTTGTGGCTCTAATTCCCTTTTACACATGCTTTTACTCATCTTGGGATAAGTAATTTCACACTTTCTAACTTAAAATAGTGTCTACATGTGGACAATATACTTATATAAATAAAATAGGCATTGGAGCTCCTTCTGCTGTCTGTAACGGGAATGAAAAAGTAAAAAAAGTGAAACCTTTATCCCAGTGAATGCGATGTGAACAGAGCCGTGCCATTGTGAACATAATTTGAAAAGATTAGAAAGAGTCCAGCGATGGTTTATGAGCTTAAAAACGGCAAAGGAGAAGTTCAGAGTTTTAACTGTGGCATGTGTGAATGATCAGAGAAGACGGCTTTCATGAAACAGTCGTGAATGAAGCATAAATTCAACTCCAGGTATGTTTTTGATGAGGGACACAGCTGATTTCAGAATGACATCCCCTCACTCATTGTAAAAAAAAAAAAAAAAAACAAAGCAGGACTTGTTCTTTGTTTCTAAAGACATGCCCTGCTGATCATTGAGGCATACCTCACAAACATTTCATTTTACTATTCTACTGAAAATACTACTACTGCATGTGAGTTCATATAAAAATAACTGTTCATACAGAAAAGTGCCAGGATAAAGTGTATTTATTTGGAAAAACGCAGATCAAAGATTGATCAAATCTTCATATAATCCATGATTGAATGAATGAATGCTTGTTTCACTAATTAACAAATATATAATAAAGTCAAAATAAAAGAAATAGCCGTGTAATACTGTAGCAATTAGAGAGAGAGACAGACAAAAAGAAAGTGAGACAGACACAGAGACAGACAGACAGACACACAGAGACAGACAGACACAGAGACAGACACAGAGACAGACACAGAGACAGACAGACACAGACAGACACAGAGACAGACACAGAGAGACAGACACAGACAGACACAGACACAGAGAGACAGACACAGAGAGACAGACACAGAGAGACAGACACAGAGAGACAGACACAGAGAGAGACACACAGACGCAAAGACACACAGAGACAGACAGAGAGATACAGACAGAGACAGAGAGATACACAGAAAGACAGACACAGACGCAGAGAGAGACAGACAGAGACAGACACAGACAGACAGACACAGACACAGGAGAGACAGACACAGAGACAGTGAGAGACAGACACAGAGACAGTGAGAGACAGACAGAGAGAAACAGACACAGACAGAGAGAGACAGACAGACACAGAGAGAGACAGACACAGAGACAGAGAGAGAGAGACAGACACAGAGACAGACAGAGAGAGAGACAGACACAGAGACAGAGAGACAGACAGACAGAGAGACAGAGACAGAGACAGACACAGAGACAGAGAGACAGACACAGAGACAGAGACAGAGACAGAGACACAGAGACAGGGAGAGACAGACACAGAGACAGAGAGACAGAGACACAGAGAGACACAGAGAGAGAGACAGACACAGAGACAGAGAGACAGAGACAGAGACAGAGAGAGACAGACACAGAGACAGGGAGAGACAGACACAGAGACAGTGAGAGACAGACACAGAGACAGGGAGAGACAGACAGAGAGACAGTGAGAGACACAGACAGACAGACAGAGAGACAGACAGACAGAGACAGAGAGACAGACACAGAGACAGAGAGACAGAGACAGAGACAGAGAGACAGACAGAGAGACAGAGAGAGACACAGAGACAGGGAAGACAGACAGAGAGACAGAGAGACAGACAGAGAGACAGAGAGACAGACACAGAGAGAGACAGAGAGAACAGACACAGAGACAGGAGACAGACACAGAGAGACAGGAGAGAGACAGACAGACACAGACAGACAGACACAGAGACAGAGAGAGAGACAGACACAGAGACAGAGAGACAGACACAGACAGGAGAGACAGACAGACACAGAGAGAGACAGACACAGAGACAGGGACAGAGACAGACACAGAGACAGAGAGAGACAGACACAGAGAAACAGACACAGAGACAGAGAGAGACAGAGACAGGGAGAGACAGACACAGAGACAGACAGAGAGACAGATCCAAGGGAAATTCAAGTTTTACATATTTTTCACTGCAAGTCTGAGTGGCCTTTGTGTCTCTGTCAGAGTTCTCAATTCAGTAGATCAATGGAACGACTAAAGGACTACAGCTCCAACATGTAAAAACGACATGAAAATAGACCACCATCTTTACTTTTTACTATTTGCAACTATTACATTTTTATGTCTTTGGTTTGTTGCAGCTGTATATTATATCATATACACAAAACAATTTAAAGCTGGCGTTAACAACACTGACAATATTACTGCTTCCAAATCCCAAAATAAATACACAAAATTACATTCCTTTGCACCTTAAAAGAAAACCCTTTAGTAATTTGTGGCCCAGCCCTTTCCCCCTGACTCGTAGCCTCGCTGTGTGTTGTGATAAAACAGTAGCGCTCTGGGGCAGCTCTTAACAGACTGACCTGAGAGAAGAGGCTCCTGCTCCATCTGTCAACATGAAGAGAAACGACATGAAGAGAAAAAACACCACGGCAGAGTTAAAGCCGCCAGAGTTAATGTTCCGTTTACTCCTCCCGTGCCTGTGCTGTCCGCGTTAGGTTTTATTAATGGGTGTTGCTAATTGTTGTGACTTTGGCCTTGGAGAAAACGCCAGTGGACAAATGCCATTATCAAGACTGATTTACTCGATACAAGACTGACCATGTTTCACACTGCAGAAAAAACTAGATTGAAAAATTGCTTGAATTCAGAATATTTATCTTATGTTTGGACTGGTGAAGATTGATTTACTTGGATCTTGAATATAGGCTCTATTCACGCTTACCGGAAGACGTGTGGATGACGACTTTCAGTGTATTTACCGACACTGGACACGTGATAAAACCGTGGATTCAGCAGCAGCGTCTTCACAACCTGCCGAAGCTTTTTTTAGGACTCTAATCAAGTCTTCCAATGTGCGATTTTTGACCCTTTTTTAGCCGATTTTTCACTCATGCGACTGTTTTTGGGAATTGGGCCGACTTTTGGCTTAATCGTGTGTCGTGCTTTGTGTACATAGGGTGACAAGAACAGATTAATGCCTCCCAAACGGCAATCGTAGGTCGCAAGAATATCACACCTGTTTGATATCAGTCGCCTCTCGTGAGGGTTTCGCTCTGTTGAAGTAGTTCCATGAGTTGTGAACTCTTAAACCCTGCAATTTGGGCGTACAGTTTGAGCTGGGGCTGAGTGAAACAATCGAAAATATCGCACAATGTATGTCCAGCATTACAGAGAGCTGATTGTAATTGTTGATCTGCCCAACATAACGGAATGCTACAATGACAGCTTTTAAAAAAAAATTAAGTTAGATAAAGTATGATACACAAATTAAGAGATATAAAAGGTAAAAAGAAAGAATACAGTGACGTCTAGATGAAGAAAACCCGACCATTTTCTCAGTTACTATCGCCAGCAGAGCCTAAAGGAAGTCGTCATCCACATGTTTCTAGACGGTTTTGTGACATAAACGTGAATAGAGCCCACTGACCATTATTTCTCCTTTAAAGGGGCTCTACCTGATTTCAAACCATGAATCAGGAGCATTAGTTTGAAGTTTTAGCCCTGCCCTTTCACTCTGTCCATGAAATAGTACCATAACACATAAACTGTCAGGGGCAATGCCATGCAGTTGTTTCCTTTCCTTAAAATGCTTTGTTAAATGAATAGATATTATTTTACAGTTACTTTTTTACCATAAAGCATGATGTAAATAGTATTTATTTTGACAAAACTAAATTTAAATCAGGTAAAGCCAATTTATTTGCTAATTTATTATAGCGGTATTAACTATTTATTTTCTGATTTCAAGCTATGTTATCTTGAAACACGTTAGAAATGTCTTGAAACCGTTTAAATATTCTACACAATCGCAAGCATTTAATTTAATCATGTCAAAATTGCTGAAATCAAAACTGCGATTCTGAATTCATGTCATTTTGGCCAAGGTTACGTTTTTGCAGAATCGATGGAAGGAAGAAAACTCTGAAATATCTTGAAACAAATGACTCTTGAAAAGACATTTTAAGCCAGTTCCATGGTGATCACACAGTTTTTCATAATATAAACTGATTTTGACTGTTGTGTTTGTGTCGTCAGCTCTGTGAATCTCTGGAGGAGTTACTGAATGTGAACGGAGAGCTGCGCGGCGAAGGCCAGACCATATGGACCCTGATGGGAGGCATCCTGGGACAGGTACCACAAACACTGAACCACATCAAAACTGTCAACCTCAGGGACCGTCTCTGTACACCGCGGGCTTTGAAGTGTCTTGCTCAAGGACACAACCGCAGTAGAAGAGATGATCAAAATGTGAGTGTTTGGGATATTGGGCAACGCCACAGAAACATTTGACATTCATTTTGATTAGAGGTGGGCCATATCCCAAAAAAATCATATCAGGATTTTGTAGAGCCAGATTATGATTTTGATTTCATTACTTTTTATGTTTTCTTAGTGTCTTTTATACCAGGGATGCACAATTATTTTTTCCCTGGGGCCAAACGAGAAACAAAAAACTATTGAGAAGGACCAGACTAAAACACATAACTCAATTCTGCATAATATTATTAATTGTATTTCTTTATAAAAAGCAGTAAATAGCATTTTTTTTAAGAGTTCATGTTATGACTACGCAATGAAAAAGTGAAATTGCCTTACAAAAAATGTCATTTAAAAAAAACACCTCCATGCAAGAGATAAAACATAATAAATTGTAAAATATGTTTATTTTGTAATCCCAAATTATCTTAAACGGGCCGGTCAGAGTCAACCAAAGGGCTGTATGTGGCCCCGGAGCTGTACAATGCCCAGGTCCTGATGTGAAGCGTTCTGATTGTTTACTTTTTAAAATGATTGGCTATATCCACCTGTCACTCACTCAGAGCACGACCAAGGCTGAACAATTAGGAGAGTGGGTGGTGGAATTGTTGTTTTGTTTTCAATTTTTATGATTATTTTAGTTTTAACAATTTTGAAATTATACATAACAAATACAAAAATAGACAAAAAACAAACACAAGCTCCCACACCTCACTCCTCTTCTCCTCTTACATGCACAACTACACACAAAAAACACTAGGAAATAAAACATAAACTGTCACGGAAATGTCTTTTTTGGACCGTAGTATTATAATATATCGTCATAGGCATGATTCTGTATTTATCCCCATATCGCCCAGCCTTACACCCAGTTAAAATTCAGTAATCTGGATAAATCCATTGTTTGTTTAGTATTGTTTTGAAGAGTTTATGCTATGATTAAGCAATGGAAAAAGTCAGGCTCATTTAAAACAAAAACAACACCTCTATAATAATAATAATAAAAAAAATGCAGCTTTAGTCCATGCATGAGGTAAAATTATAAAATATGTTTATTTTGTAATTCCAAATTAACTTAAATGGTTCAGTCGGAGTCAATCAAAGACGCTTGTGTGGCTCCGGAGCTGTCTGTATGTTTACTTTTTAAAGTGATTTGTTATATTTTTTATTTTCTTTGGTCCAGTTTTGAAATGATACATAACTAATACAAAAATAGACAAAAAAAAAACCAAAACAAAAAAAAATTCAAAGTTCCCACACCTCACTCCTCTTTCCACATTGAAAATACACACAAAATTACACAAAAAAAAGCCCCACTATGAAATAAAACATTAACTGTCATGGAAATGTCTGACCGTTGACCATAGCATTGTATTAAACAGAAAATTTGATCAACGTAGCAGATTGTCACAGGTATAATTCTGTATTTATCCCCATATCGCTCAGCCCTACACCAAGTTATAATTTACTTTAATAATTCGGTAAATCCGTAGGACGTTTAGTATATTTTTTATCCCAGATATGAGATCACGCTGCTTCATGGGACTTAAATGTTGTAATTGCTGCCAGAAATTCAATTCAAATAATCCTTAAAGACCTTCAGGAGCCTTGATACAATCCACGAACCAGAGTGAGAGACGGATAACCTCATAAAACTGTCACAAACACACTGGATATCGTTTGTATCAGTGCCATATTTGAGTTTGACTTTCCTTTGCTTGTCTCTAGTTGTAAATCATATCATACAGACCGGCCGCTCTGTGAGTCACTCGTTGATTACAAAGTTTGTGGAAGTCTTGTGTTTAATCATTCCTATTTTAGCCAAACAACAGATCGTGATGGAGAGTTTTCCAAATTGTAAGTAGCACGCCACATGGCCCACCGAGTCTGGGCACGGGAGCACGTCTGTTTATAAAAATCCACTCATTCTGGACTAACTGATTGACCTGTCATCCTCCATGAAGTCCGAGCAGACAGCGCACCCAAACGCCGTCTCTGCCTTTTTGTTCCCATGGCGACCGATTGCTTCGATGAGACACAATAGATATGCTGATGGTTTATTAAACGAATCTGAAATGCACTGGACAGAAATAGACTTAGATCAGACAGACTTCAGAGACTTATTCTACGGATTACGTTCTGCCTGTTAATGATTATGTTACTATGTGTCTCGATGCATGTATGCAGACAGTGCGCCCATGTGGATCATAAAGACACTAAAAATAGAAGAGCAGAGAAACTTGGAAATAACTTCAGTGTTTATTAAACTTTTTACAACAATAATATTACATCTTATTTACTTTGGAGCCTTTCTAGACGAGGGCTGGGTATCATTATGGAGTTGCCGATACGATATATACCTCAATACATGGGCCACGATACGATACATATCTCGATACAGTGAGCTTTTGGTTTGATAAGATATATTTCAAATCGATTCGATACGGTTCAATCAAAAATAAAGGCTAAATCATGTCCACTAAGGCTACGTTCAGACTGCAGCCTGAAGTGACCCAAATCTGATTTTTTTGGCCCCTATGTGACCTGTATCTGATCTTTTAATGACAGTCTGAACTAGGGATGGGCATTCGATGAAATTTTCTTAATCGATCGTCGGAAGAATTAACGATCGATTATCGATTAATCATTAACGTTTTTATATTAAAATGATCATCATTATTATTACTATCTGCACTACTAATCTGCATAAATAAATTCAACTTTACGACATATAAACCGTAACCACTCTAGAGCCACATCAATCCGTTTGACATTATAATGTGTTTAATTCAGTTTTGCGCAACTCTCACAGAAATGAAACTTAAAACCGCATCGCTAATTTGCATAAACTTAGCGAAGATAAAACTACAGCTCTTGTGTTGCTGATACGGTCAACTTCTGTCAGATTAAAAGGCATGATTCAGTGAAATACAGGTTAGTGTGACCAGATTTGCGTTTCTGAAAACCAGGACACCGTACGGGGGGAGGGAGGTGGGGACTCGTCATCGACATTGCGCGACTCTCACCTGGTAAAGCTTTTTTCCACTGGACACCGAAACATATGTTCCTGCTTTGTACACTGTGCACATGGACTCACACTTGTCCCGAACGCAACGGAAAGCGTGGAATTTCTTGTACAAATTATCGTTAAATATGCATTTGTGCTTCGGTACGCTGCAGGCTGACCGAATGTTTGTGTTTGCTCGCTCCTTCTGAGTGCAGAGAGCTACATGTACAGACCCCTGTTTGGTCACGCTACGCACAGCAACCTACATTTGGTTTGTCGATTAAAATTAACGTAATCGATGACATTCTTAATGATCAATTATCGATTAATCGATTAATCATGCCCATCCCTAGTCTGAATGATACAGAACAGATTTTTTCAAATGCGACCCAGGACACTTGGATATGTGCTCCTAAAACCGATACATATCCGATCTTTTGACATGCAACTTCAGTCTGAACGGCCAAAGCGCATTCATCCGACCTACACATCATCAACGAGCCACAAACGTCACTATTCTGCGCTGAAGTAGGCGAAAATTGTTAATGAAGCGAAGCACATCACCACTCTTGGCTACGTCTCCGCATCTACACGTTTCTTTCAACGGACGTCGCTGCCGCTGCCCCGCAAAACACCACGACCAAAAACCTAGTCCTTCTCCGTGTCAATCTCCTTTTTAAAACAAGTAAGTTGTTCATGTTCTGGCTCCGGTACAAGAGGAACTTTAAAATCTCCAGGTGTTCAATGCTGCCTCCATGTTTGGACAACTTCCATAAACACAGAGCACGCTCGCTGTGGATGACGTCATCAAGTCCTCCATGTGCACATGCGGGACACTTTTGGGCCATTTAGTATTCACGCTGCAGATCACATACAAGTCGCATTTAATTGGAAATGTGAACGACCTCGCAAAAACGTTGGATTTCACAAAAAATTCCGAATTGAGTGTAAAGCCCTGCAGTCTGAACGTAGCCTAAGTTTGTGCAAAGTGAATATGAAAAACCCATTTTACTTAAATCAGTGAAAATGTCAACACAATTGTAGCTCTTACACAAAATAGTTTAGTAAAATATACCTAAAAATTACTCTTGGCGATATATTGATGCAGCAGCCCACGATATCAATACTGCATCATCATATTAAATGATACAATATTTCGATATTTCAGTATTTTTGCAAACCCCTAATATATACCCCATCCATCCATTTTCTTCCGCTTATCCGGGGCCGGGTCGCGGGGGCAGCAGTCTAAGCAAGGACTCCCAGACTTCCTTCACCCCAGACACGTCCTCCAGCTCCGGGGTGAAGGAAGTCTGGGAGTCCCTGCTTAGACTGCCTAATATATACCCTGATTCCAAATTTGCTCCTGTAACTGTTTGCATCATAAGCTTCATTTGAGTGGTGTTGAATGCTGTCACACTCTGTAGTTCACTTCTTTATACCGTCTCTACGAAAGTTAAACATACAATGAAAAGGAACAGTGCATCCAAAGTCTGGTGAAATGGTGAAGTGAACTGGCCAGGCTAAACAGGAGAGTTATCTGTTAACTTTATCTGTTAGTTTTGTGTTTCTAAGTAATCCACTAGTTACTTTTTCAAGTTAGTAATCTTCTGAAATAGATAAGGTACATATCATTGTTCAATGCATTTGACCCATCCATCAACCTGTCAGGAGCGGAGGGCCCCACAGTGCCACTCCTGGGGACACATCTCCAGATCTTGAGCTAGTCTTGCTCAGGTCTACCGTATCTCTCGTGCCTCGTCTTTTGTGCCAAAGGTGTTGAAAATTGGCTAGAGAAATACCTATTTTCAGTGTGATAATCAGGTACCCCAGCGTTAAACACTAGTATTCTTGTATTGTATGTAGG